AGACGGGAAGGTCTGTCGTAGTTACCGGAGTACAGGGCCGGTATACCCTCCGTCTCTCCGCCTACCCCTTGCCTCCACGGGTTCGTAAATACCTTCAATCTCAATCACTTATTCTCAAGTCCATTATTTCTGACTCTGGAGCCAATCGAGGCCTTGGTCGATTTGAGGAGGAAAGGAAGGACGGGACAGTAGATTCCTCGGGCGTTGAAGAGTTGATCGAACCTGAACTACTGGAGATGGAGGGAGAGACCCTTGGGGCAGGTATAGTGGGAGACGAGACGGCAGATAAGAGCACTTTGAAGACCTTTAAAGATGGCCTGAAACGCGCCTTCTCCAAGTCTCCTGACCCTGAGGGTATCTGGGGAAAGGATGTGGTGGAGAGGATCTGGTCCTTTGGTCCAAAACATATTGGCCCCAACCTTCTTCTCTCTTCCTCTCTCCCCACCTCCACAAGCCGTTCTTTCCTTTCCCGTATGAGTGGCAGCTCTGGAGGCGAGACACCTCGAGAAAACTCGAAGGAGGGAGGGAGGGAATTGAACGGTTTTGACGGGTCTCTTCTTACTGGATTCCAGCTGGCCACGTACTCTGGTCCCTTGTGTGCTGAACCTGTTGTTGGTATGGCCTATGTGGTTGAGGATTTCTCCTTGACTCAAGCCGAGAAAAGCAAGGAGTCTGTCGAGGAGGAGGGGAGTGATCTTGGTAAGTTTACTGAAAAGATGGGTGAGGTCAAAAAAAAAGAGGGAGGGGAGAGTCTTTGCTTTGGTCCATCTCTAAACTCCCTACCCCGTTACTTCCTATTACCTCTCAATAGCCAGCGCCACCGGCCAGGTCATCACAATGATGCGAGAAGCATGTAAACAGGCCTTCCTACGCCTCTCCCCCCGTCTCATGCTGGCCATGTACACTTGCGACATTCAAGCCACCACGGAGATCCTGGGAAAGGTGTACGCTGTGGTAGGACGACGGAAGGGCCGAATTATTTCTGAGGAAATGGATGACGGCACCTCCTTTTTCAATATCAGTGCCCTTCTTCCGGTTGTGGAAAGCTTTGGGTTTGCGGACGGTAAGGTTTATTGTGAGGAGAAGGGAGTGTGTATCCCTGGTGGTTCCCATTCTAAAACCGTTTTATCATCACCTCCCCCTTCATTCTCTCACAGACATCCGGAAAAAGACTTCGGGAGCCGCTAGTCCCATGTTGGTCTTCACTGGATATCAAATGTTGGAGGAGGACCCCTTCTGGGTGCCTACAACCGAGGAGGAGCTAGAGGACCTTGGGGAGAAAGCAGACCGAGAGAACTTGGCCAAGAAGAACATGGATGCAGTCCGTCGTCGTAAAGGCATGTTTGTGGAGAATAAGATTGTCGAGAAGGCTGAGAAGCAGAGGACATTAAAGAAGTAAAGGGTTTTTATTGAAGAGAAGAGAATAGAATATTGAGTCTTTTCATTTGGTTTTATGTATACAAAGATGAAAGCATTGACGAATATGATTTATTTAAAATAAAGGATTATTCTCCTTTTTTTACTTGATGTATCTATCGAAATATTAGGCAGATCGTATCGAGCTCACCCGAGATAGCATTCAGGCCCGAGTTAAAGTATGGATTGCAAACACCGATGAAAGTGGAGAACGATCATTAAAAGGGGAAAAATAGATAAATCGGAGGAAATTAAAGAATGTAAGAGTGGTTGAAGAATCTACCAAAGAAACGATACGATTGTGAGGAAAAATTAAAATCTGAAGCTTTGTAATCACTCAGGAAAAGGACATAATTTTAACTTTTACTTTCGGAAAGTTGTGTTCGGATAATAATTATCATCTTTTTTTCTCACTTCATTAAAATGATCTGCATGCCTTAGTCAGCCATTAACCAATCACAAATGATCGAAACTATTCACCATTATCGATTCCCGCGTCTTCAGATTATGATAGTCAGTGCTATGATGAAACATGATTTTTTCGGCTTAGTGTAACACCTAAAAACGTCATCTACCAATACCCTAGTTCCACACGTTACATTTTCATGGATCTCTTCATCAAGGTACTTTATGGACGGCTCACTCTCTTTCCTTCCGTGGTACCTCTCCTATAGGCCCAAGATGTTGTGAAGAAGAGGATATCATAAGGCATCAATTCCTTGAATGCCCGAATTCCCGGGCTCTTTGGTCCTATGTGTACTATCATTTGATGGAAGGACAAAAAGGAGATGGGTGGGAGGATGTGATCCTCTCACCTTATGCTCTTCTGAGATCATTAGGATTTGAACCTAGTCTCCTGGTCATTGGATGCACATTTTGATGTAGTTACCGAGATATTCTATGGATTGCGTCAAGTTCATCCGAGGCAACATTCAGGGCAGATTTAAAGCATGAATCATGGATATTGATTCGGATACTGATAAGGGTCAAAAGAAGAGAACGGTTATTGAAAGGGGAGCGATGGAGAAATGGAGGAGAAGTGGAGGAAACGATTACTTTGTGAATGTAAGGACAATTGGTGTCCACACCTGGGAAGAGCTCGTCCTTCCAGAGAATATGAAGGTGTGAAGATGGATGTGAGTGTGAGGTGTGTATGTATGTGTGCAGGTGTGTTTGCAAGAAAGCATCAGATAGCTTAAAACGCGCGTACAGGATATGATTTGAGCTAGGAGCGCTCTGATCACAAAATACATGCTTGAGAAAGCTTATTTTAGAGACACAACGACCAAGGACAGATCCAAAGTATTTAAGGTGACGAGGCAAAGAAGAACGCCCCCATTCTAGGACTCATCCATCCGTTTCTTTTTTCCTTTTTCACCTTTGGTCTTCCCTTGACCTGCGTTTCTGTTTGATCCTTGATTCACTTAGTTGAAGCATTTGGCTTACCACAATGAGGAAAGCCACTGAATCTTGCTGAGCTTAGCCTGTGAAGACTTTTAAGAAAAAGGGAAGGATGTGATTTCCTCAATACATTTCACTGCTTACCGCTACTATGTTACATTTTCACGCATATATCGGTACATCTTTTGGAAATGATTATTATAACAACACGAATATCTCTCCAATTGGATTGCTTGATGATCGTAATAGCCAGACTTAATAGGCGGTACAGTATGAGATGGAGGGGAAAAGGTGAACGTGTATTATTTAGTCTAAATACGTATTGGCTCGACCAGCTTTTATAAAGGAGCTGGATGCATGGAAATGCTGAATTATGGATCTGCTCTGAAGAAGAGGACATTAGTTAATGTGTACGAATCCGTGCTTATCCGATTATTAAAATTTGAGTGTCCTAATGCTAAAGGCCCTTGGTCTTGAAGGGCCCATAATGACTTGAAGAATACTGACTCTTGTTGTATAGTAGTACTGATCATTGATCCGCTATTCTAATCATTAATCGAGATTGCTCTACTCCACTTTTTCTATCCAATCAGACACTCTCATTACACGGATTCGAGTTCAAAATTAGAGGAGAATTCAAGAGACAATTATATTTTATCCAGGAAGCAGCCTGAAAGAGCCCGAACATATGGGATGAATCGTGTGGACTAGCTTTCAGCATAGGGATACACACATACAGAGCATCTCACACCCTTCGATCCACGCCATGAATATCTGGGATATAAACCGGGATGAAGTGGGGCTGCCGTGTATAATTCAAAGACTTCCCACAATAAATTGGCCAAATCCCCTAATAATAATAATAATACGATGGTGTTGCCCTACACCGACGCAACACCGGATTCGCATTGCAGCATTCATCCTTAGCCTTCTTTATGTCCTCATCATTCATTTGCCCAGGATCCCCAGAGTTAATTTCATCGTCTTCGACTGGCACAGGCAAGCCAACGGTAAATGTGATTAGGCAGATGCCGACGAGGACAAGGGTGGTCAGAGTACGGGCAGTAAGACGTATGTTGAATGGATTAATCCGATGTTGATAATGATAGTGAGGAGGAACAGACAGGCTAGCTGAATGATTAAGATTAGGCTAGGATGGATTTAGATAGATTATATGAGGGAGTAAGGAGTGGCGACTTCTTGGAGGTTCGCCATTCCCTCTATTTATATCTTCTGGTCCCCAAAAGACCACTTCCAATTCATTATCCTATCTGAGCATATCCAGGAATGATTATATAAAAAGGACTGGTTTTTCCGAGTGCTCTATAATCATCCATACAGCAAAGGATTGATCGCCGTTTGGGTCAATTACCTTGGAGTGTGTTGAGGATGAGTGAAATGCATCGCGTGCCCTGCTTCCTCTGGGATGTTGAAGCCATGTAAAGTCCGCCCACCCTCCCTTGAACCAGTGAGGATGCACACTACCTCAGCATTTAGTATCAGGAGTGAATAGCTCTATCTCTTCTACACTTGGATGACCGGTCGAGTCTTTTCCATCTCTCCAGATGTGATGAATCGTCTCTAGGAGTTTACTCGATGACATTTGATATATTCGCCTATCCCTTCCTCGTCTACAAGGTGGACCCGAAAGTGTTCACCAGTCCAGGATCACTGACCTCTGCTCAACCTACTATTTTACCATCATCCTCAATGAGGTGGCGCAGTAGGACAATCCCATCTTCAAACAGGTCGTGTCATCAAGAATGAGCTACGGTAGTTGAAGAGAAAGTGAACCCAATGTACATACATTAACAGGAGAAGAAAAAGATGCCAAGAATAGCATTCTTTTGGGAAGCTGAGTCAATCCGTCCTCTCAACTCACTTGGATAAAGATGGGACTCCTTAGAAATGGTCACGGTTTATATCTTTACGCGAAACGCTAATCATAAAATCCAAAAAATGCCATTCAGCGTGACAAAAAAGGAATACTTTATTTCAAAAGTGCATATTTGTACCATTAGACGTTCCCAATGTGTTGTTAGAGACTAGCCACTATACATCTTCTCTATAACCAGTACTAAAAGAATGTAGGTAAGTCTTCAAAATGGAGGACCTGGGCATCGATCCCAGTACCTATCGCATGCGAAGCGATCGCTCTACCATTTGAGCTAGACCCCCATAACTGCCTTCTGGCGGATTTGAACCGCCGACCTTCCGCTTACTAGGCGGACGCTCTGCCAACTGAGCCAAGAAGGCGTTGTTGGAATTTTTCCACGTATATCTATAAAATATTGTTATTTCTAAATAAAAAAGGCCTGTAAAACAATTCTAGCCAATTTTACAAAAAAGTGAAATGATTTTAATAGCGAATTTCTCCCTCAGTTGTGGCAAGGGTGTGAATTCGTGTAGTCTGTTGGGTTCATTTCCCCATGAGACAATACTTTTTTCAACAGCGATATCGAATTCCTTGCACTCTCCTCCCACTAAACAATGATTGAGTTGAAACTCACAACCCAATACTCACATCCATCTTCTCATAGATGATGGTAGGAAGAGAGATACCAAAGGGGCACATCCTTGACCTTTCTGAAAGGAAAAGGACGATGAAATGGAAAAAAGAAAGGGGGCTCAATTGTATCAACCACATTCTCTCCCTGAACCTCCCTCAAACATCTACAAGGGTAGACGGGAATAGAAAAGGAAAGAGATCCTGTTGGACACGATAGTTTATGCCTTACTTGGTGACATCGTGCATGGCCCGGGCGAGGTGGTCGACATTGTGGGAGGAGATGCCGGCAACGGAAATACGACCATCCTTGGTGAGGTACACATGGTGATCACGGGTGATGCGGGCAACCTGGTCAGGGGTGAGGCCGGTGAAGCAGAACATACCAATCTGATCGGTGATGTGGCGCCAGGGCCGGCTGCTACCCAGATCTTTCTCGAGGTGGTTGCGGAGCTGGGTACGCATGTCGATGATGCGGCTGGCCATGCCTTCAACCTCAGAGAGCCACTGGTTGTAGAGGTCAGGGTCATTAAGGATGCGAGAAGCGATGCGGGCACCATTGACGGGAGGGTTGGAATAGAGAGGGCGAACGAGGATCTTGACCTGGGATTCAACGCGCTTCCTCTCCTCCTCATCGGCGCACACGAGGGAGAAGGCGCCGACGCGCTCACCGTACAGACCCATGTTCTTGGCAAAGGACTGGGAGAGGGCGACGCGATGGCCGGCCTGGACGAAGGAGCGAAGAGCATAGGAGTCCTGAGTGATGTTACCCGAGGCAAAGCCCTGGTATGCCATGTCGAAGAAGATAAAGTGGGAACGCTCCTTGCAGACACGGTTGATCTCATCCCATTGCTCGCGGGTGGGATCAACACCGGTGGGGTTATGGGCACAGGCGTGAAGGAGGACGATGCTTCCAGTATCAAGGTTACGGAGGTCCTCGAGCATGCCTTCGTAGTTGAGACCATTGGTCGAGGGATCAAAGTAGCGGTAGGTGCCGACGTCAAGACCAGCATCACGGAAGATGGGGGTGTGGTTACCCCAGGAGGGCGTGGGAAGCCAGACCTTCTTGGGGCCATCCTCGTAGAAGCGCTGGAGGAAGGCACCACCAAGGCGGAGGGCACCAGTGCCGGAAATGGACTGGGTAATGGCCAGACGATTCTCCTGGAGGACGGGGGAGTCGGTGCCGTAGGCAAGGATACCAGCGGCCTTAGTGAAGGAGGCCAGACCAGTGATGCCGAGGTACTCCTTGTCGAGGTTCTGGGAGAGGAGGTCGGCCTCAGCCTTGCGGACTGAGGGCAAGACGTAGGGCTTGCCCGAGTCGTCACGGTAGGCGCCAACACCAAGATTCATCTTCTCCGGGGAGGGATCGGCCTTGAAGGCCTCGGTAACCCCAAGAATGGCGTCGGGAGGACCCTGGGTGACTTTGGACCAAGTGGAGACGGAGGAGGTGGAGGAGAGGACCGCGGCCAGGGGGCGACGGAAGCCCATGAGGGAAGGGGCGGCGGAGAGACGGGAGACGAGCATGTCTGAGGGCGTGCGGTGTGGGGAAGCGCGAGAGGAAAGAGTCAAGTTTGGATGGGTGGGTCCGGGAAAGGTGGACGAGAGCGAACTGGGTACGAAGGAAGGGTACGGTGCGTTAAAAGGTTGTGTTAGAAGCGAGAGAAGGAAGGAGCAGCTGGGCTTGGCTTGCTAGAGGGGAGTGGGATGGGGCAGAAGGCTGGGTCCGTGAATGGCGGGGAACGGATGAGCCGAGCTAAAACACCACCAAGTCGTCTGTGCTCTGTATGGGGGGGAGGAAGGACCAGAGGAGGCACACCTGGATCTGGACCGGGAGTACCCGGGTGTGCCGCTGGAAGGGCGGGGATAGAGTGAACGCGTGTCTCCCGCCGCACATCACCCTTGCACCAATAAATCTGTCGGAGCGCGAATTTTAGAATTTTGATGTAGATTTTCCTCTGTTATTTGTATGATGATCATAGTACCATGAGGATAGAGAGTTCATTGTGTACTACATTCGTTGCTTCGGACAAGGAAATGGAGGGGTACGGATGAATGAATTAATGGAACCTGGATTTAGGAAGATGACTAGAATGGTGGGGGAGGGGAATAGTTCAATATTCTAGTTTGGATGCTTATCTCCATCTTTAAGACGATGCTAGAGCCCATACATCTCCATGTATTGCGCTGAAGCCCTATTGGAGGCAAGTAGAGGAAAATCACCCGAGGTTCTCACCCTTTTCCCCTTTCTCTTATCCGGATATTCACCTTGAGCATTACGACGGGATCCAGCTTCGTCCCATGAAGGCAGGTGGGTAGAGTGCAAGACTAGGATAAAGATGCATACGTGAACACCCCCCATCATGTGTGGAGGGAATGTGTCTATTCTAATTGGCCCAAGGAGCTCTCCCGCCAGAAGAGGCGCGGGGGACAAGGTGGCATCCTTCCTCGCCTCTCACATTAGGACCGCTTTCACAGTCTTTCCTAACAAGGCGAGATCCCCCTAATCTCATCATCCCTTCGGTGCCTCCAAGCACCCACATTCATTCATCTACTGCCGCGATGCCCATACTCACAGCCCCGAAGCCTTCTCTCTCATCCACCAGCCAACGTCATGCTATAAATAGTCGTACTTGTTCATTATCCCCGCTGTAGCCTCTCTCACCCTCCTGTTCTCCATCTTTTCCTTTCTGTTCCAGTCATCTTCCTTGCTCTCGCTCTCTCTTTTCTGCTTACTCGGACGCAGCCCTCACACACTTTAACTAAAGCTCAACTCGACCCAGTCACTCCCCTTGCACAATGACCTCTGGTGGTTACGAAAGCCTCGTAGGCAAGCTCCTGTCGGCCAATCAGGGCCATCTTGTCATGTTTTGGAACAAGCTCTCCCCTGAGGAGCAGGAGAAGCTGGTATCCCAGCTTCGTGCTATGGACTTGGACCGGATCAACGGGATCTTCAAGCTGGCCACGACCACCAAAACTCCCCCGGCCTCCACGGTAACCCCCTTACCCGAGGAGGTGATTGGCTCCACTATCGACGGAACCCCGGAGCAAAAGGCGACTTGGGAGGCTAAGGGCTTTGAGTTGGTGGCGGCCAACCAGGTGGCCGTAGTACTGATGGCCGGAGGTCAAGGAACCCGTCTAGGCTCCGCAGCCCCCAAGGGTTGCTATGACATTGGCCTCCCCAGCCACAAGAGTCTTTTTGCGCTTCAGGCTGATCGGATCCGACGTGTTCAGATTCTGGCGGCCGCCAAGGCTGGAAAGGCCCCTGAGGAGGTCACCATCCCCTGGTATGTCATGACCTCGGCGCCGACGCGTGCCGCCACCGAGGCCCATTTTAAGGAAAATAATTACTTTGGTCTCGAGCCCTCCTCGGTCTTCTTCTTCAACCAGGGAACTCTCCCTTGCTTTGACCCCTCGGGCAAGATCTTCCTTTCCGACCCTTCCACTCTGACGGCCTCTCCCGATGGGAATGGCGGGATCTACGCCGCCTTGTCCTCCGAGGGCGTCCTGGAGGACATGGCCAAGCGGGGTATTGAGCATATCCACTCCTACTGCGTGGACAATTGTCTGGTCCGCGTGGCTGACCCCACCTTCGTCGGGTACTGCGCCCTGCAGGGGGCTGAGTGTGGGGCCAAGGTGGTGCGGAAGACGGAACCGGCCGAACCTGTCGGCGTCCTGTGCAAGCGGGAGGGCAAGTACTCGGTTGTAGAGTACAGCGAGATTGACAAGGAAATGAGCGAGCAGCGACGAGAAGGTAGCGACAAGCTGGTATATGGCGCGGCCAACATCGCAAACCACTACTACACCCGGGCCTTCCTCGAGCGTGTCCCGGAGTTTGAGTCTTCCTTGGCCTATCATGTGGCCAGTAAGAAGATCCCCCATGTGGACATCACGACCGGGGAAGCCGTCAAGCCCACATCGCCCAATGGTGTTAAGCTCGAGCTCTTTGTCTTTGATGTCTTTCCCCATACCGAGAAGCTGGCTGTTCTTGAGGTGGAGAGGGCCGAGGAGTTTGCCCCCCTGAAGAATGCCCCGGGCACCGGCGTGGACTGCCCTGAGACGAGCAAGGAGGCTCTCCTGGCTCAGCAGCGCCGGTGGCTCCAGGCTGCCGGGGTTTCCTCGATTGAGGGGGATGTGGAGCTCTCCAGCCTGACCTCCTATCAGGGTGAGGGTCTGGAGGCCTTTGCCGGTCAGGCTCTCCAGGGTCCCAAGGTCCTGTAGGATGAATGTCTTGTTCGTGCCATCGACATGTTGTTAAGTTGTTGAGAGGATAGGGAGAGATACTGATTGTGCAGGGGAGGAAGAAATATGAATGGCTGCTATGACCCTCTATCAAAAACTGGTTTTACAACTATGAGGGAAATATATACATGTCATGCTCTCCCTCCAACGCTACACATTATGACTATTTTTTAAGAAGAGCCTGCTTTATTCGGCAAGGGGCTGGCTCGACATGCCGTAGTAGTATGCGCATACACTATGCACTGTGCATTAAGGGAGAGTGCAGGTCAAAGCAGCCTCTATAGCTTGTTGAGTCGTTCTGCCTTGATGTAATCCACCTCCTCCTGTTGCTCATGCTGGTTCATGTTCCCACTGTACAGGTCTTCGCCGAACCGGGTTGTTTGACGGACATTCACTCCGGTCAGGCCCGTGCTAGAATAGGTCATGGAGGCTGGACGCATGGTGGAGGTGGCGGACAACCGTTGAGGCGGATCATAAGGGCCAGCGGCGGTTCGATCAGCCTGTGGCTGAC